TAAACAAATCCCAAGACCTTTTTTCTGGCCCCCAGAGAACTCAGACAAATGCCCTAAGAGTTACTACACATGCCAGGCACCTGAATAGGACTCTTATATACAGTGGGTGTAAAATAAAGGCCCACCACACTCCTCACTTACTTTCCAGGTGCTCGCACAACCTGGAGCTCCCGGTGTTTGAGCCCCAGGGCCTGGCTCAGCTGTGGCAGCACAGAAAGCAAGGTCAGCTCCCCAGGTCTCCCTGAGAAGTAAGAGGGAGAAAACAAGTTGCCAGAGCACCATCCAACGAACTCCTCCCCACCAGCCTTTCCCTCCTTGTCCCTGCCCATACCTGTCACAGGCAGACCCTGTGGCTTGTTCAGTGTCACCAGAGGTCCTGAAATATTCGGTAGATGTCAGCAAAAGCAGGGCAGCCTGTGTGCATGCAGCCTCTGGTTATAAGCTCCCAAGCCCACTCCAAACTGAACTTCCTGCTCCCCGCACCCAGGGCCTTTGCACCTGCTGCCCTGAGCTTTCATTAATATTGGGTCCCTTATCACACACCTCCCTATAATGTGTGCCCCTCCTACAGTCCTTGACTGTTTGGTCTGAGACCAGCTCAAACAGGCCGGCCTCAAACTCAACTATAGGTAAGTCTGGTCTTGAACTCTTGATCCTCCTTGCCTCTGTCTCCCAAGTTCTGGGATTACAGGTGTGGTCACCACTCCCAGAAACAGCAGAGATTCACTATTCCTCACATCAGAACGCTTGCTCTCTCAAGGCAGGAGCCAGCCATATTTATCCCAGTACTGTGTAGCCTCCTCATTGCTACAATGCACTGAAGTTCAGCAAAGTTGTCATTCCTAAAGGCACACAGCATGCTGCTTACAGACCCCAGGAAACTAACTTCTGCTCCCGAGGGTCTTAGAATGCGAGGCGGTGTGAAGGTTTCCTATGCCTGGCGGAGGGAATGTGACGGCTACAGGGGTCCGACTCCAGGGGGTCGGAGGCTCCCTCACCTTGCTGATCCACCACAGCTGCCCTCAGCACCTCAGCCAGCTCCTCCGGGCCGAGGTTCTCTGTTCGCAGAAGCCCGGGGAAGGGCTGGTCCTCCACTGCGTCCTTGCACTTGCTGGAACCTTGAGGTTGAGGCCGACCCCTGAGAAAAACGACAGAAGCCGGTACCTCCAACGCCCACGCTGCCCAGTGCAGCCTTTTCGTACACAACCCTCAGAACCCCCGGCTCGGCTGACAGTTGTGGTCCACAGGCCCCCAAGACTACAGAAGGGGCATCAGACGCTCGGAGCGCCAACCATCTCGTGTCGGGTCACACAACGCGGCTGGGATTAGAACCCATGTCCTGATCTGAGTGCCCGACCTGCCCTCCCCTTGTCCTAGCCTCCCTCCTACACGGAAGTGTTGAGTTATAATCACCGGGCCTCGGTGCCGAAGCCTGCATCTCTCGGCCGTGCGCCAGCCGCCAGCCGGGGCCGCCAGGTGCCAGACACACAACGCCAAACGCGGAAGACGCCCATCGCCGCAGCAAGCACAGACGCATGCGTGTCCACGGACTGCCCCACCGCGTGCATCCTCCGTGCGCCGATTGGTCAGCCTGGCTGTCAATCAGAGCATCGAGCAGGCGGAGCTTCGAGGACGGAAGAGCCAAACTTTCCTTTGGCTGAGGAAGGTAAAGTACGGTCTCCGGCTCTGCTTTGGGGGAAACTGAGGCAGGAGGCGCGGTTATTTACTCGCGGTAGAGGACGTGTCTTAGAATAGAAAGAGGCGAGTTTGCAGATAGATTGTTTCAGTTCTCAGGACCCTTAATCTGAAACCCATCCTTGTAAAGCAGAGGGAGAAGGTGAAGCCCCACAGCCTTCGGGCCAGGGCACCTGCATGGAAATGGTCTGCGACATTAACCATCCCATGACTGTGGCTCAGGTGGTAGAGAGATTTTTCTAGGATGCACGAGTTCCTGGGTTCGATCCCCAGCACCACACGAAGACCAAGATCACAGATACAGACTGAGTTGGAGACCAGCCTGGGATATGTAAGGCCCTTCTATCACAAGAAAAACAAACTAGGCCGGGTGTGGTGGTGCTCTTCTTCAACAGAGGCCAACCTGGTCTAGACAGTGAGTTTCAGGACAGCCGGAGCTACACAGAGAAACCCTGTCCCCCCCCCCCCAAAAAAAAAAAAAAAAAAAAAAAAAAGAAAAGAAAAACAAGCTTGGTGCGGTCCACATAGTAAGTTCCACACTGGCCAGTATGTTGTTAATTCCAAAGATGGAATGAGTGTAAGGAAAAAGGCCAGCCAAAGAAACACACTTTGGCTCTGCAACCAGAACCAAAGAAATGCACCCTGACTCTGAAACTAGTACCAAAAAAACACACTTTGTGTTTTTAGAATCAGAGCCAGGGAAAGAAATGCACCCTGGCCCTAAAATTAGAGCCAAAGGGCTAAAAAGAATCAGTGAAAGAAATACACTTTGGCCCTGAAACCAGAGCCAAATTTGCCCCGACCTTGAGCAGAAAACCAACCAATCCCTGAGCACAAGATCTAGCCAGTCTGAGCTCATGGATTGAAATCTGACCAATCTTTCTCCACACAGGAGATTCCGGATACCTGCCTGAGAGCAATTAACATTCATTCCTCCCCCACCTCCTTTTTCTCTGCTTCCTCCTTTCTCTATAAAAACCCCTTGTAATAATCAATAAATGGGCCTTGACAAGAAAACCTGCTTGGTCCCGCTCTTTCTTTCCCGCCCATCATTTTCAGGCGTGATCCACCTCGGACTCAGGAATTACCGGAGCCCCGAGGGCCGGGGTACACCCTGACCCTGAAACCAGTGCCAGAGAAACACACTTTGGCCCTGGAATCAGAGCCAGTGAAAGAAATACACCCTGGCTCTAAAATCACAGTCAAAAGGCTAAAAAGGACCAGTGAAAGGAACACACTTTGGCCCTGAAACCAGAGCCAAATCTAACCCTAAACCTGTGCAGAAAACCAACCAATCCCTGAGCAGGAGATCTAGCCATTCTGAGCTCAGGGATTGAAATCTGACCAATCCCCACCCTGGAAATCTCCCTGGGAAAACTCTGCCCCCCCCCTAAGAATCCCTATATAAACCCTGTGCCTGTTCAGCTTCAGGCTGCCTGGCTGCCCTCTGCCACTGGATTCTTGAATGAGGTTTGGGTAAGAACTTTCGCCGGAGCAGAGACCACCCTACACACTGGCTCTCCAGGGGACTGGAGTTGAACTGTTACAATTTAACCAGGGAAACCCTCTCCTCCCCAAGCAGAGCTGATACACTGAGGAAGGCCTTTCCCTGAAGCAGGGCTGTAAGCCGCTATGCTTACTGTGACCTGTGGCATTCCTTGGCTCCTAAACGCCAGAATACCTTTCCATCCCAGCTGTAACACTCAGTATTCTGTGACTCCGGAGTGCCAGAATACTTTGCATCTGAGCCATAACACAGTATTCTTTGGCTCCCGAGTACCAGAATCCATTCCTTCCCATCCAATCCGTTGAAATGCTTACAATGAGAAAAACCACGAACCCAAATCATTGAGACCAAATTAATTAAAGTTTTTTTTTCATTCATGTACGAGACTGCCTCCCCCCAAGGCCTGATTTGAGAGGTCAGCATTGGATGTGAGGAAGACAAGGGGGTTTTGTTGTTTTGGTTTTTTGAGACAGGGTTTCTCTGTGTAGCTTTGGAGCCTGTCCTGGAACTTGCCCTGTAGATTAGGTTGGCCTAGAACTCTCAGAGATCTGCCTGCCTCTGCCACTTGAGTGCTAGGATTAAAGGCATGTGCCACCACCGCCTGGCCTCACCTGGATCACACAGACACATATATACATAATTAATAAAATACAGACCTGGCCTTTAATCCCAGCACTAATCTACATAGTGAGTTGCAGGACAACCAGAGTTACATGACCCTGTCTCAAAAAAAAAAAAAAAAAAAAAAAAAAAAAAAACAACCTAAATAAATAAAATGCAGAAAGTAACAATATGTACATAATAAAAATAATGAAATAATAACATAATTGAGGAACAGTGGGGCATGGTGGCATGTGCCTTTAATCCCATCACTTACTGATCTACATCCCAAGCCTGAAGGACCTTGCTGAAAGGGCTCCAGCACTAGACTGTTGCTTCTGGCAGAGAAAGTGGCTCTCAACCTGCTGGTCAACGACCCCTTTGGGGGGTAGAAGGGCCCTTTCACAGGGGTAGCCTAAGACCATCAGAAAATACAGATATTCACATTACAATTCATAACAGTAGCAAAATTACAGTTATAAGGTAGCAACAAAAATAATTCTATGGTTAGGAGTGGGTCTCCATAACATGAGGAACTGTATTAAAGGTTGCAGCATTAGGAAGGTTGAGAACCACCAATTTAGGGGCAGATGCTGCCTCCTTCACAGCACTCAGCCACAGTTGTGTTGTGTCCTTGTTGAGGTTCTATCCGGTCCTCCAAAGTTCAGCTGTGGGAAACTAAATCTTTAACTTCATAATAATGGTAATTGGAGGCTGGAGTAATTAGTACCAGATAAAATCATGAAGAGTGTGCTTCCATGATGGCCATTAACAGCTTTCTAAGGAGAGCAGAGAAAAAAACCTTTTCCTCGTTGTGGAATGACTTCCTCCGTGTTGGTGTGCACCAGAAAGGCCCCCTGCTTGTGCTAAGTGGAGCTATGCCATGCTCTTGGACTCTGCAGCCTCTAGAACCATGATCCAGATCAACTGTGTGTCTGTGTGATTTGTTTTATTTTTATTATGTGTGCATGCCTGTGTGTCTGCGTAAGTGTATACCATATGTGTTGCAGGTGCACGGAGAGGCCATAAAAGGGGCATCAGATCCTCCGAAGCTAGAGTTTTAGGCAGTCGAGAGCCTCCACGTGGGTGCTGGGAACTGAACTCAGAGCCTCTGCAAGCTCAGCCAGTGCTCAGCCAGTGCTCCTCAGTTTGTGTGCTTGTTTTCAGTACTGCAGATGGATCCAGGACCCCACACGTGCCAGGCAAGCATTCTCTCACTGAGCTGCACCCTCAGACTGGTCTCAGGTGGTTTGTTATAGCAACAGAAAACAGACATGTGGAAGGAGTGATGGCGTATCTTGACTGAGAGGAGGAATAACTTGGCTACTCGCACAGCACATGTCTGGGCAGGTTCACAAGGAGGCTTCCAGGGACAATTGGCACCTAAGAACCCTGACCTAATGAATGGATGAACCATTCAGAATTTGGATGGGTTCTTGGGGGGGGGGTGAGGGAACTGTGGTGGGTGGGGACTGCTTGGAGGAAGTAGGGTGTTTGTTGTGGGTGGCTCTCGGAGGCTATGTCTTACATTGGCTCCTTTCTGTTTTGGTTCTTTCAATTTCCTGTTGTGTGCTATTCTGCTACAACCGCCTCACCCAGTAGATTGCAGCCTCTGTTAATCAAGACAGGGTCTTACTGTGTAGCCCTGGCTGGCCTGGAACTCATAGAGATCTGTTTCTTCTGCCTCTTGAGTGCTGGAATTAAAGACGTGTGCCACCACCACCACCTGACCTAGAGGACAACTTTATTTTTTTTAATTTTTTATTTATTATGTACACATTGTTCCTGCCTGCGCACCAGAAGAGGGCACCAGATCTCATTATACATGGCTGTGAGCCACCATGTGGGTGCTGGTACTTGAACTCAGGACCTCTGGAAGAGCAGCCGGTGCTCTTAACCTCTGAGCCATCTCTCCAGCCCCCTGGATGATTAATTGTAGAAGTTTCAGTTCTTTCTTTTTGTTTTTGTTTTTTGAGACAGAGTCACACTACGTATCTTCAACTGATCTGGAACATGCTACGTAGACAAGGCTGGCTTCAAATGTGTGTCAATGTTCCTGCCTCTGCTTCCAGAGTGCTGGGATTATAGGCATGTCCCTAAATCTGTTATTTTTTTAAACACTTATTTTTGAGGGGGAGTCGGTGGTGGTGCTGTTGTACGTACATATGTAGAGATCAAAGGGCATCTTGTGGGAGTCTGTTCTCTCCTTCCACCAATGGGTTCTAGGGACTGAATTCAGGTTCTGGAGCTTGACAGCAAGCACCTTAATCTGCTACAACATCTTGTTGGTACTAAATCCATGGAGAATTGAAAGGATTGTTTATTGTTGGGCCCGGGAATATAGCTCTGTGGTAGTAGAATGCTTGCCTAATATGTGTGAGATTCTTAAAAAATCATTGATTGTTTTCTTAAACCAACTTTTTAATTTGTTAAAACCAACTTTTAAAGGATATATCTAGGCATGGTGGCACACAGCATTAACCCTAGCACTTGAGAGATAGAGGCAGGCAGATCTCCTATGAATTTGAGGCCATCCTATTCTACGAGTTCCAGTACAGCCAGGACTACAGGACTGTGTGATATGCACAACACAGGAAGGACTGATGACAAATTTGGTAAAAAAAAGAAAGAAAAACAGCAAGTGGTTTCACATTGTCCGGCTTCACCTGGAGTGGGTGACTGTGGGTACTCCTGAAGCCTCCCAGGAGTGGGTGACTATTCTGTCAGACTGTGGGTATTCCCGAAGCCTCCTAGGAGGCCTCCTGT